TGAGAAACCTGTTTGTTTTTTTGATCAACACCAAAATTTTGTAACTCTGGTGTTTACTCTGCTGAAACTTTGATAACTGAAAAGGGTGTTTTTCACTTGTGTCTAATGGTTCTTTAAGGATTTGATGAAAAACTTGTGGGAATAGGGTTGGTTGCAACACTTGATACTGATTAGGACAAAAACATATAATGTTTATATATAAGCTGCCTTGTAAGAAGGCTAAATTAATGTAATAAAGGCTGTGTTGCATATAAAAAAAAAAAAAAAAGAACAACTGAGATATCTAGTTATTCAGACTTGTGTATTTATTTGACAAGGAACTCTGGTGGTATAGTGATTAAGGCATTTGGCTGCTAACAAAAAGATTAGTGATTCAAACCCATCAGCCACTTCATGGAAGAAAGATGAGGCAGTCTGCTTCTGCAAAGATTGACCGCCTTGGAAACCCAGTGGGGGTCACTGTTAGTTGGAGTTGATTCAATGGCAGTGAGTTTGGTTTTATTTCTTTATTATTGAGTATTTATTTGACAGACATTTTTCTCAACAAATGATGAACTGGGCCTGACACGTCAATGAAAATAACTAGAAGAATTTGTTACCAATTATAAAATTCCAGCTTTAAACAAAAATTAGAATTTTGCAAAACGTGTATCTGCCATTATGCATTTGACAGCTTTCCAATACTGAAAGAGTTGTTTCCTGATGAAATTGATGGTGATATCAGTGATCTTTTGATATTAAAAATGAAATATGTCAATATTTAGAAGAGTTTTATAACTCATTAATTCAGTATTTCCAAATGACCAATGTGTGCTGTTAGAAAATCATGCACAGATGAAAGACCTATGCAAAGGGCAAACTAGGCCAATAGAGTTTATGAAACAGAGTAAGAAAAGTTTATTCATAGGGTTGCAGATTCTACATTTTGAAATAGACATTTAAAAAACGTCCCCTTTTTACTCAAAATACATAGTGTTTAATTCTTTATTATAGGATGAAGAGGAATATCCATAATTATTTAAAAAAAAATACTTTACCCATTTCCAACTATGTATCTGTATGAGGCTAGATTTTCTCTGTATCCTTCAATCAAAACAACATATCACAACAGATTGAGTGGAGAAGCAGATAGGAGAATTTAGCAGTCCTCTATTAAGCCAGACACCAAAGAGATATGCAAAAATGTAAAGCCACGTCACTTGTCTCACTCTTGTTTCAGAAAAATATAATTATTTTTCATATGTTATCATATTTTCATTTTATTATTATTATTCTAAATAAAAGAATTCCATAATTTTTAAATTTCTGTTTTAATTTCTCATGTGGCAGATATCCATAACCTGCATAAAAATTTTTTTGTGGAGGCTTTATTCATTTTTAAGGAGCTCTGGTGGCATAGTGATAAGGCATTTGGCTGCTAGCCAGAAGATCAGTGGTTCAAACCCACCAGCTTCTCTGTGGAAGAAAGATGGGGTGATCTGCTTCCATAAAGATTTATAGCCTTGGAAACCCAATGGGGGTCGCTATGAGTTGGATTTGACTCGGTGGCAGTGAGTTTGATTTTATTAATTTTTAAGGATGTAAAGCATTTTGAGAAATGCTGAGTAAAGAAAAAGTGGCTCAGTTTGATATATATATATTTATATAGACATTTTGAGAGACAAAATCTTGTCATCCTTGCTTATAAGGAACATTCTGGCTATACTTCTTCCAAGACAGATTTGTTCATTCTTCTGGCAGTCCGTGGTATATTCAATATTCTTCCCCAACACCACAATTCAAATGCATCAATTCTACTTCAGTATTCCCTAATGGGAGTAGTGCACGTAGAAGTCTGAATATTGTCTTTGATTCTCTTCAGATTTTTGTTCTGAGCAACTGTGATGAAAAAGACTGTAGGGAAGCAGGTTTGGAGAGAAGGTCATAACAGGCATTCTGTTCTGACCATGTTTATTTGAGATGCATGTTAGATGTACAAGTGAAGATACTGAGGAGATGAGAGGATATGGAAATCAGAGAGGAGGTCAGGACAAAACAAACTAAATTTGGGAGTCCTAAGCATATAGCTAATATTTAAAGTCATATAGGCATTAAGTAAGCAGAGTTAGAGAAAAGATAAAGTCTAAGTATTGAGTCCCATGACACACTAATATTTACAGGTTGAACAAAGAAGCAGGAGCAAAGGAAGAAGCAGTAACAAAGGAGACTGAGAAGGAGTCAAAGGTGAGGCAGATGGAAAAGCCAGGACTGAGTGATATTGCTGATGCCACCAGAAGAAGTTGTTTCATGGAAGAAGTGGGCTCCAGTGTCAAACGATGCTGAGAAGTTCATGTAAAACCAGTTACATAAATTGAGCATGGAACTGGAAAGATGGAGCTCACTGGTGACATTGATAAAAGTAATTTCTCTAGAGTAGCACAAAAGCCTACTTAAAACTGGCTAGGGAAAGAACGAGAAATGAGAAAATAAAGCCAGCAAGTATAGACAACTTTTTCAAGGGTTTTCCTTCCAAACAGAAGCAGAGAAAGAGGTATTAGGTAGAAGAAGATGTAGAGTCAGGGAAGGATTTTAAGATGGAAATACTAAGCATGTTTATATGACAATGGAAATGGTTCAAGAGAGAGAAAAATTGATGTCATAGAGAGGGTAAGGATAAATATAAGACAAATTGTTTAAGTGAGAGAGAGGAGATGGGATGAAGAGCTCAAGAATAGTGATTGATTCCTGATAGGAGAACCAGCATATGGAAAGCCCAGTGGGACAGATCATCTGTCTGTTCTCAATAAAATGGTTGGCAGTTGAAAATAGCTAAGACTGAAGAAATTTCTGGGTGGCACTAAGACAAGAAGTCCTAGGTTCTACATTTCTGTGTATTTTTGTAGTGGTTTCATTTGTTTGAGGCTAGAGAGATGGCTTCATATGCATGTGAAAGCTGGACAATGAATAAGGAAGACTGAAATAGAATTGATGCATTTGAAGTGTGGTGTTGGGGAAGAATATTGACTATACCATGGACTGCCAGAAGAATGAACAAATCTGTCTTGGGAGAAGTACAGCCAGAATGCTCCTTATAAGCAAGTATGGCAAGATTTTGTCTCTCATACTTTGATCTGGTTATCAGGAGGGGCCATAGAGAAGGATATCATGCTAGGTAGAGAGTCAATGAAAAAGAGAAGACCCGCAAAGAGATGGATTGACACAGTGCTGCAACAATGGGCTCAAGCATAGCAACAATGGTGACAATGGTGCAGGACTGGACAGTGTTTCATTCTGTTGTTCATGGGGTCACTCTGAGTTGGAACTGACTCACTAGCACCTAACAACAACAGAGAGATGGTAGGCCTTCTCTACTGCCCCAGCCATTTGATGTTTTTCCTTCAGACTTTGCGAAGGAAAGAGTTCACCTGGTAACCAATATGTGTATCGGCCACCTCTGTCTGTGATCTCATAGTCAAGCTGTTTCCCAGAAGTCTGGGGGTGGAGGGGATTAGACAAAGAGTGCTTTGTGATTTCTTTGGCTGTTCACTTTTAGTAACAAGCCATGTAAGTGTAGTCCAGTGCCCACTCATCTCTGACAGGACACTTCTTGACCTCTCCTTGTTATGTTGATTAGAAGAGGAAATAACTCGAGTTGGAATGTCATCTTTCTCCTCTTGAGACTTGTAGGGATCCCTGGCTTGAGTAAGGATTTTTTCCATGCAGAGCAAATACTGTCCATCTTCCTAGGGGGACTTTTTACATACTGATATTGTTAATGATAATGAGTACCAATCTTTTATTTGGTATTTAATGTAGTGATACATGACTAACTCTGTGTCATCTCAAGACATCCTCCAGGTGAGGGGGAGGTTTAAGAAAAAAAGGAAGTTAATTGTGTCTGGTTTCATTATGAGGCCAGGACTTGAATCAGTCCTCATGCCGCATGGGCAGGACACTGCGTAGAACAGAAATCCTGAAATCTGTTTCATCATTAAACATCCTCTTGTCATAGATAGTTCTCAGTAGGAGAAATAAATAAATATGACAAATATTTATTCAAAGTTTCCTCTCAGAGTTTACCAAGGAGGAGCCACACAGCATACACCCTGAGCCAATTCCTATAGGGTATTGTTTATTGAGTTTGTTTTCACCCTGACTGCCCATTGC